AGCAACAGTGAAATTAGTCCGTTAAAAAAAAGTGGGTGTTAAGCTCAAACTTACCAACAGAAATGCAGAGGAAAAAGGTGATAACGAAAGGCAGCTTCATCTTAGTACTTGAACGCCTCTCCTTTCTTTTCGTTTGGAACGCCAAAGGAATAGATTGCTTTGTAAAGTCAGACGCCTTCTGATGAACTAAGAGGAGTACCCTTTACGTTTGCAAACAGAGTTAGTTTAGATCCAACCAATCACAAGGGTTGATTTGATTATCTGTCATAATTTTTAACCAATCACACGTAATGGGCGGATTTATCATTGTTTGAGTGATACGCATCTTTCTTCCCAGAAAGATGGAACTTTTCCGAGAATTCAGGAAGTCGATTGTCTGTCACGAACAAAGTCTTATTGATTCAGCCTCTTTCAAGATTTGGACAACAAATAAAGGGAAACATGACAAGCCATATTGCAGTCTACCATCCTCCCTTTTTGATGTTATTGTTCAAATTGTGCGTCACTCCAGAACTCTTTTTATTTGCCTCAATTTAATTTTAGGATAGCGAGCCTTTCGAGGTTCTTTCGCCACATTTTTACAGGTCAAAAGGTCTTTTTCGAGGAAATATGTTGAAGATCGAGAGGGTTTTTCTGGGAATTGGTTGCTCCACTAAATTTATTAGCTAAAATGAATTCGATTTTTAACGGCCCCGTTAGACTCCAAATTTACTCATAATGTAGCTGTTTTTGTAGCCTTCACCCATAGCATGTGTCGATTGAGAAACACCGATTTGACATAATTATGCGTCGTAAAGTATGCCCACAATGTGAAAATCTATTCGCACCTCAGGGTAGAGATCCCCGATTAGGATGTTTGACCCTGACATGAAACCACAACCACCCTTTGTCGCTCTCGCTCTTAAGCCTGTCCCCCCAGAGTAAGGGCTCGAGGTATTCTGTAACACAGATTCTGCTCGTAACCACGAAAATAACCATCAGCTGCTGGTACACTTCATGACACCTACACAC